AGCCCTGCCTGCGGATCGAGTCTGGGCTTCCGGGCTGAGTCTCCACCTCTGGCCTTCGCGAGGAAACGCTCCTCGAGTTCTTTGGCGAAGGGGAGGACACGGCCGAAGCTATATATGCACCGCCGTCTGCCTGCTCAAGGCATGTGTATTTCCATAAGATAAGTAGTTTATATATACATATACATTACATATACATTACATATAGATATAGATATAGATATAGATATAGATATAGATATAGATATAGATATACATATACATATACATATACATTACATTACAATACATTACATTACATTACATTACATATATATATATATATGCACCCCCCCCGATGGATCTACATTTTGCTGTTGAAAGGCTATTTTGGAGATGGAATGCAGTTGTGTTATTTGGAATGCCCCATGCGACTTGACCAGCATCAGCACACCCAAAGCAAGACAATCCTCTTCAAAGTCTAATTTGGATCAACAATTCCAACTATGTGCTTTTCTTTGAAAAGGAAAACATATGTAAATTATCTTTAAGCTTAGACATTCTACTATATGGTTTCCTTCTTAGATTCCAGCGATTTTTGAATGGAACGTGGAGAAACAATATCCCGCGAAAGGACGTTATCTTTCTAAAAAAATAGTTGAAGTACGAATAATGTGCTTCAAAATGTAAATCCTATTCAAATCATCTTTAAGCCTAGAAATTATATTACGTGTTGTTCACGTTCAAGTTTCACTTAAGTTCTAAATCGAAAATTGAACGCATCATCATGGACAAAGACATCCTTTTGAACATACGTTTTGAAATAAGATTTCCACTCATTAACCCCCTAAACAAAAACACCATGTAAATTATCTTTAAAAATAGGCAGTCTACTAGAATTATGTACTTGTTGAATTCAATTAAACCTATGACGACAAACCAACCCGGTTGAACATCTAGGTTCAAATGAGAATTTTGACTGCACATCTTGTTCGACAAGGAAATCCTGCTTAAATTATCTTTAAACTAGACACTCTGCTAGGGTGTGCTCGTTATTAAGTTCCATGTCAATGCTCATGAAAATTGAACAAACACAATCCCAGAAAACAAACTGATTGAATTTTTGATGACTAATCCTTGTCGAACACTTTGGATTCCAAGCAAAACAAGCAAACAACAGGGAGTCTATTTGAACAAAAAAGCCAGTTTCCAGTGAAATTCATTAAGCAAACATCTACGAGAAATAAGTTTGATTCCTAGAAACGTGAGTCAATAAACCCCAAATCCTGCACCCTAAACCTGTCCATTCTACGTAAGCTGAGGGTTGGTCAGAAGATGCAAAACCGCAGCTATGTTGGCAAGGTGAAAACATAACAATGCAAAATTATGGAGCCAACAACAAATGCGGAGCCATTGACCCAAGAGCAAAACAATTAAATTTCTGGAGCCAAAGACCCAACAGTAAAAACAAACAAAGAAGTAGAAGTAACTGTCTGGAGCCAATGACCCACAAGTCAAAAAGTAAACAAACAAAAAGCAAAAAACATCAAAGTAAAAAGTAAACAAGCAAAACAAGTCAGCCCAGGGTCCTGAAGTAAAATGCTTTGACCATGGATTGAAGTATTTTACTTGTCTCCTTTTTTCCTTTTTTACTTTCTTTTTGGGGGGTCATTGGCTCCAAAAAAATGCGTCTTTACGTTTTCACTTTTGGGCCGATGGCTCCAACATGGCTGTTGTCTTGAATCTTCTGACAAAACCTCAGCTTGGAAATAGGACAGGTAGATCCAAACCGACCGGATTCAATATGTTCTGTACTTTGGGAAAGTTGTCTTGCTCAAACTTGTGAGCTGCTTTTCGAGTTTGTAACTCTTTTGCAAGTCTTCCATAACTATTCCAAAACCCTGTAAGTTGTTTAAATAATTTTTTGTCTCAAATCTCGATCGATTCAGCGTTTTGGTTTCCCTCTAAACCAAGACTAAGACTTCTAAGAAGGGTACACTCAAGCAACACGCGAAACCTTTGAGCTGCCCGCGCAAAGCTACATCCCGCCAGGAAGATAGGGAGCACAATCCAGGCCTCGATTCGGTCGAGGCGTTTACAGCTGATAGGCGGAAAAAAAAATATCCCGTCCTGCAAAGTCCCACCCAACAAACTTGCTGGTGCTCAGCAACGAATGAGGAAATGACCCCTGCAAACCATCCCCTATGGCTTCCTTTAAGGGGACACGTGGGTGCATTGCTTGATTCCTGCTGAGCACCAGCAAGCAGAAAGGCATGTTTGTTGGCAATCGCCAGGACCTCCTCTTTTCACACGAATCCATGTTTTGGACCCGAGTCCCGACAAAAAGCTGGCTCATTCATCCAAAGCAACACGTTGAGGCCGCGAGTTTGCCGGGGCTTCCCTCAACGGGTCCCGATCCCGAAAAGCTCTAGGGCCTGCGAATTCTATCCGCTGTGGCCACGGCTCGCCGGACTCGGCGCATGCCCTCGGGTGGTGTTTTGACGTATTCGAAACACGGTCAGTTGCCCCAGTTGCCGCAACCGGGGCGACAAAAAAAGTTGAAGCACTGCAAAGGAAAAGGCTGGAACTTGGTGGAACCCAGGATCAATTTGGGCAATGGATTTCATCCCAAGTTCCAGGGGCTGACTCGTTTAGGCTCATTGAGGCTTAAGATCCATGCCCAGAACATCACCCCTGCAAATGATGATCCTGATGACGATCAATATATTTATAAATAGATATATATATATATAAATACATAGGTCTTGTTCTAGGTGAACCCCTTTTGTGGGTGCTGTTAAAGGAAAATCACAAGGGCGCCGTCGCCATTTTGGATCCTGGTTTCGTCATTGTAACACAAACCAGCCTAGTCTCAGAACAATCTGCAACATCAGAATCAACTCGCGCACCTTGAACCCTTTTGGTCTTCCCTTAAAAGCCACAAAAAGGAAGCTCAACAAACAGACACTCCCATACAATATATATATATATAATATGTCAACCAGGTGGTCCTTTCACGTCCCTTCGACTATGTCCTTTAACGCCAAGCCATAGCCTCAATCGTGACTCAACTCCGAGGACGATGGTGTGTCCATGTGGCTTCCTTCTACTCAATCAAGAAGGAGCGACCCGAGCTCTCCTACCGAGTCGATCCAAGGCAAGCCACTATAGAACCAACCATTTTCCTTTTGGTGTTAGGCTGGTTCCCTTTGTTACATGCTTAAATGGAATCACTGCAAAAGGCCAGACTGTCCCTTCTGAAGTGGGCACCTTCGCTAAGATCTGAAACCTGGTTTCAGATTCAACCGGGGTCTGAAGCAACGCTCAATCTTCGAGGATAGGACATTGCTCTGATAAGGCTTCTTCGCAGACCCAAGGAGCCAAACTCTTGGACCAGAATTGGAATCTGCCTTCATTGTGTTGAACAGGGACCCCACCCGCAAGAGTAACTTTGAGCACCGCGTAAAATGCAAGCACTTTAAGGAACCCAGTAGATGATCCACTACTATTCGCCGGCCTTGGCTCTGCGGGCGAACCCAGCGTCGAAAACTGGTCTCTCTGAGCCGCAACTGCGATCGCAGGTTCCAACTTGCATGTGATATGTTGGTGTATTTGTTTGGAGGGTAATCACCCTTTTTACGTTGTTCAAGGGTAACCCAAAGGCAAAACGCCAAACTCGCGTTATTGCCATACCAATGAAGATCGCTCTGCCTGCCTCAAAAGAGCTCTAAGAGTCTGCATTCAGAACCCAGAGCAGGCTCGAAGCAATTTGAGGGATGTCCTAAGTCATCGCCCATGACGAGTGCGAAAGTGTTTGCATTGCAGCTCCCACAAAGAATCTTCTCCTTGAAAGGCTGTCCTCGCAAAGTGTCCCTCGCAAGTGGAGACCTGGTCACATAAGCTCTGCAAAACATCATCCTTCGGCTCCCTGCCTAAAAAAGATCAACAGTTCAGCCGGTCTGCTTCCTTCTCTGGCAGGCAATTGGGGGGTAACACCGTGAGAGCCTTGGGGAAAGCCAAAACGCGTTTGGGACACCAGAAGTTCCAAAAACTGGGGCCCTTGCACATCTTGAGATTCTTCAAGCTTTCCGCAATCAATTGCATCGGATTCCGATAGGTCCATGGATCCCCCTTTTCAAAAGAAAGCTTTTGCTGTTGAGCACGCAGCCAATGCTCAGGTATTGAGACTTTCGCACTTAGGATCCCGATCTTGCTCGATAGATTCTCGCTAGCTGACGCAGGAAAACCTCAGAAACCCTTCAGTCAAACATGATCGATCGCGTTCAGAAACGTAAGTTGCAGCCCAATCTTTCTGAGAGCTCAACTCGTTTTGGCAATTGCAAATACAGAGACAACAAAAGCAACCCTTAAATTTAACATAGGGGCTTCAACGCAGTCCAACCCTAAATATGAGAAACGCATCCCCGCTCGCCGCGTTTGTCCTGCTTGGACCCCGCGGCCAGTCGATTCGTGCCGCTACGCAAACACGCGAGCCACGTTGTGCGGACAAGAAATGCATGTCATAAGAATCGGAATCTGGAGTTGGGAGAAAAACGCAAAACAATTGGGCAGGGACAATCCAACACTTGGACATGGTGGATGAACAGCATCATTGACAGACAATCATTAAGAATCAATGCGGAACATGCTACGAGTAGCTTGACAATTCACGACAAATACATGAATACCCCACAATATGTTAAACACCACAAAACCGATACCCACCAATCTGACACGAGCTCGCCCTTCTCCGTTGATCACATGAAACACAACTCTTCAAACGCATGACCGCCTTTGCGGCCTGTTGAGACTTCAGCTGCACCGCGTGTCCCACTTTGAACGAGGAAGGGGATCGCTGTCATTCGGCAGCAAACCGTCGGCTTTCAATTGGCAGGTCTTTGGCCACCGCCACCCCCCCTCCACATTCCCAACCCCTCACGCAAGCAGCGCGGCATGCGCAGGCTGCAACATGTTTTGCCAATTTCGCCGAAGGTTCGAAAGGAAACTAGATCTTGAGATTGCTCTCAGAAGCCTCAGTGCCAGCAATGCCACAAATGGAAAGCTCAAACTTTCTGGATTTCCGGTGGCGTGCAAGCAAGTCAAGTCCTTGAAGATTGCGGTACACCCCCAAAAAGGCAATCCTTCATCCTTCGTGCGCGAATTCGCTGAAAAAGAAGAAGCCGAAACTTGCTGTCTACTAGCACAATCTTCTCAGATCGGTGGCAAAGGCAACCCTTCCCAATAAAAACGGAGAAAAAAAGGGGCGCCACTGGCCAACTGAGTCTTCCCATGTCAAGGCAATGACATGCCGTCTTAGGCATCCGGGCTAAAGGCAGCCATTAGAGCCAGGAAGGCCAAGGGCGCGTGAAGTGCCCCAGCTCCGCTCCACTTCTCCACCTTATCCTGAACCAAAAAACAAACCAAACGACAAAACAAGAAAATGGCTACAGCGACAGCACCACCACGCAGCATGGTTCGCATAGCCACGCTTAAACTCCTCGATTCAAGGAAAAGTTTCCAGCTGCTCATCGGGCCGTAGTTTGCGAATTGACTTAACTGTGGACAGCAAATTACAGATAGAGAGTTGTTGTCCAAATGAGGACTTTCTCGTATCCCTTCAAAAGGCGGCACCAGGGTTTAAAATGGGGCCAAACTTTCCACAAGCTTCGAAGTAGCAGCTGGCACTCCCCCGCCCCGGCTTGCCAATTTCTACAATTAGGGGTCACATCGCAGTATCGAAGAGAGCCAAAAGCAAGGCAGCCGTTCACCAAACATAGGAAGCCCACTCTTGGGAACTTGCATCCTGTTCCAAACATATAGATAGATAGGTAGATAAATATATATATATATATATATGTATATCTTGCCTCGGCCTCAACTTTTCAACCCACCCTTCCCCACTTTCGAAATTGGTGTGACCCCATGTCGCGCAGCCAAAATCCCTGCTCCAGCTGCCTCCAGTTGGCCTGAAGCGAGCCTGGCCTGGAAGCAGTCAAGAAACCTGTCCAAACCTCAAATCCCCTCTAAAAACCGTAGAAACTGGTGCCCTTCTAGAAGGCGATAGAAGCGACTCAAAGCTGGTCCAACTCTGGTTCAATCCCCCTAGAAATCCCCTTAAAACCGGCGGCCAAATTCCCTTTCAGAAACCAACCAAATCCTTCCTGAAACTTCCTTCCAGACACCTGTCAAATCCCCTCTGAAAACAGGCCCAGCTCCCGTCAAATCCTGCAAGAAACCGGCAAAATCCCCACCAAAAAACAACAGTAAGGTTCCCGAACCAAACCGGAACCGTGAACCGAACCGCGGCGAACCGCGCCAAATATAAACCGACAGGAACCGGAACCGGGCGGAACCGAACCGCTAGGAACCGTACTGCGTGGAACCGAACCGAAAGGAACCGGAACCGGTGGAACCGAACCGCTAGGCCGTACTGCTGAGGAACTGATGGAACCGGGTAGAACCGAAGCGGCAATAATAACCTCTTCACGTGAGGGGTGCAAACAAATGAAAGCCGAACCTTTTCCAAAGATTCCCATTTCGAAAGCAGCACATGCGAGGTCTGGTGGGCGCAATTGGGAACAAGCCTAAACCTTAAATTCAAAGCGCACACACGTGACTAAGACAGCTACAGTTTCAGCAAGGTATGTGGACCTGGAGCACTTCTAACTTGAACCCATACGAAAAGCTCAAAGTCTACTTCGGGGAAGGGGAGCTATGCGTAGACCGCTCCTATACGTGGACCCGTGGACCCCTTGAAAATGTGGATCTTCCTATATGTGGACCTATCCTACGCTGGATCCCTAGACAGTTCCTGTAACCCCTCTTCCAAACTTGGGACCCGCAAACCCGAAAACGCAGAGAACGAGGGGACCTCCAACAATATGTTCCGATGAATCAGGTGGCTCTCTTTTTTTCTATTCTCCACTCGCCATTGCTCCAGCCAAGGGATCTTCTTCGCAGGACACGTTTCGTCGCCTTCATTCCTGTGTATCTGTACTTGTTCTTTGGGTCAGCAGCCAGCTCGCACCTGGGATTCTCACACGCGAGCACTCGCTTGCCATTCTCATGGCGGACTATCAATCTGTGCACTGTCTCACTTCCATCTTTTTCTCATGCTCCTCACTCGCTCTCACAGCCACTGGCTCTTACCCCAAACCCGCTTCTTAACTGGCTCAAGCAGCACGTCCGCTCCAGCTCCGCCATCCTCCACGGGCGGCTCAAACAGCACGTCCACCCCAGCAGCTCCAGGCCTTCCTCTTGGTCGGCTGGCTCCGGCAGCACGTCCGCTCCATCCTCCATGGCCTCGCCACTCAACACGTCCACTCCAAAACAGGCTACGCCATCCCGCTGAGAAGGAAGTGTGCCCACCAAGTGCCTCTTCACAGTGGGGACCTTGGGCACAATCGACACGTAGTCCTCCACGCTACCTTGCTGTATCTTCTGCGCTGCCTCTCGCCTCCGCCCTTGCGTCTCGAACATGTGCTCTTCTACAGTGGCAGCTGTGAACAGGCGGACGACGTAGCAGGTTTTGGTTTGGCCTGGGCGGCATATGCGCCCTGCTGCCTCCATATCCCAGGTGGGGTTCCAGTGCGGTTCGCACAGCAGCAAGTGCGTCGACGCCGTCAGCGTCAGCCCCAGAGATCTCGCTGCCCCACACAGGAGGAAAACACAAGGCCCTGCGTGCTGCTGGAAGTCTCCGACGACCTGCCCACGCTGCACTACTGAGCTCCGCCCGTCCAAGCGAAAGATGCGATGATGTTGGCCCGCAAGCTTCTCCACTGCATTCAATGTGGGCAAACGCCCCGAAACAATGATGATCTTCTCTCCTGCAAAAACACTGGCGCGTGAGCCGCGCCTCATCCCGCCAATTGAGACATGGATTTGGTCACACTGGTTTGGCCCTTAGGACTTGGAGGGTAATGCGCTGCGCTTTGGTGCCCTGAGCCCCCATCCTGCAACTGAAAGAATTGCAATGTACTTCTTGATGTAGCGCAGCTTTGTGGAAGTCTCCTGCCTGGCGCAGAAAATACGGATAACCCGACCTCCTCCCCTACACGTGGATTCTTGTCTAGACAAGCAAATACGTGGACCATATTGCCTTCCCGTGTATGGCCTTTTCCGCCATGGCACTACAGCAGCACAATAGCCTCTGAGGATGAGTCCCCGCCAAATAATACACGTGAACCCTGCATACATGGACCCCATATATGTGGACTTCTCCATTACGTGGCCTTGTCTTGTATTTGGTGGACCCCTGCATACGTGGACCGTTTCTGTGGGCCCCAAAAACCTCTGGCCTTGTCTTGCATTTGGTGAAATATCCTCAAAGGGACATACGTGGACCCCTGCATACGTGGACCCCACATATGCGGACCTTTTTTATTATGTGGCCTTGTCTTGTATTTGGTGGACCCCTGCATACGTGGACCCCGTATATGTGGACCCAAAAAAAACTTCTGCGTGGCCTTGTCTTGCATTTGGTGAAACATCCTTAAAGGGACACATGTGGACCCCTGCATACGTGGACCCCTGTGGACCTTCTCACCCACGGCCCAGGCACTTTTGCCTTGTCTGCACTGGTTTCTTTTGTCAGCCTGTCTGATGCTTGCGAAGCTTGCTCAAGTTAGCGTGTCCGTATATGAGCCCTGCAGCTCGCTTCGCGCCGACGCACGGCCTTCTTCTGGTAATCGCACGTCCTGCGCCAGAAAACAAGCGCTCGAGGGGCGTGTTGACGCCACCAACTCAAAGGCCCCTCAGCAAGTGAGACGGTAGCGTGAAGATTGCTGTACAAGTTGAGCTCTAGCTCGATTTTCGCCTTCACTGCCTGCACGCCCTCCAAGACTGGCTCTTCTCGAATGTCCCCTGCTGCTTGCTGCCCAAACAGCCAGTCCTCTGCAGAAGTGTGAGCCTTCAAGGACCGGCGCGCCATCTTCATAGGGCTGCTCCTTTTGGGCGCGCCTTCCACGGCCTCGGCCTCGGCCAGCGACGCCAATTTGATTCATCACGTTTTGCGAGGCCAATCTCAGCTTCTCCGCCAGCTCCGGGTACTTCTCCCATGTCTGAAGGGCCATGAGCGCGACGCGCGCCCTCGTCTCTTTCAGGCCCAAGGCCTGCCACATCGAATGTGATCGGAACCAAACGAGGCTCTCCTGTGGTGTCCTGGAAATGCTTCCGGCGCACGCTCTCAAGATCCTTCTTCAAAAAGTTCCTGAGGTGCGCTGCCCGCGGCACAAGATGTCGAGACCGGACACTGTCCCCGTGCTTGGCTCGAAGCTCTTGCGGCAGAGGAAAGCTCTTGGCCCGGAGACCCCGCCGCACACACGCCGCCCGCACCAAGATGTACGGAACAAGATGCGTAGCCTTCTCGCAAGATGAGGAGGTCTCCAGTGTGGACATTCAGGCCTGAGGCAAGGCATTCCAGCGGCAACTCTTGCATACGTGGTCCTGCCATATTTGGATTGCAACATGCGTCCAACCCTCACGCGTGGTCCTCCGCTCCTTTTCCCATGCGCAATCTCCTCTCGTTCATACGTGGGCCCCATACGTGAGCCCCAAACCTCCTCAAACCCTTCCGTCCAATGTTACTTGTTTTTCAAAAAAAGGTGGCAGGCCCCATACGTGTCCTCCTTCCATACGTGGACCCACCAAACCACGTTTCCCATATGTGGCCCCCCCGCTCAAGGTTGTGGACCCTCACTTATCATACGTGGCCCCGCTCCATAAATGGTACCCCCTTTGCGTGTATAAGCAAGCAAGCGCCCCATATAACCCCTACGTGGAGCCATGACCAAGCCCTGTGTGGGCCCCCCCCTCTACGTCTTCCCTTTTGAAGGCGCGGCACGGAACTCCACCAGTTCAGTGAGCTGAGCACTAGGCTTCTCGGGCGCCACTGAAGTTCCTGGAGAAAAGACATCCTGCACGGCCTTAGCAAGTCAAAGTGCTCCGGGTCCACTGTGTGGCAGAGGTCCACATGGGTCACTGGGCAGATGTTCAGCCAAATGCGGATGTACTTGCGAAGCCCCAGGCGCAGCAGCTCTAAGTCCTCTTCCCTGACTGAGCGGCCAAGAGAGTACTTGTCCTTAGCAAGATACCAGCGCACCGCGCAGTCCCGCACAGAATTGAGATACTACCTTTTCCTAAGAAGGTCAATTCCCCAAGCTCTGCCTATGGCCATGGTGCTGACCATATTCAACACATGATGTGGGCCGAGGCTTGAAGCATGCCCGGTCCAGCAAGTGCTGACATCTACTCAGAGCATGCCCGGCGGCAGATGTGCGCTTAGCAGGCGAGAGGCCCATCCACCTCTCCACTCCAACATCGCTGGCACTGATTGCGTGCCAGAAGCATCTGCCATCTTTCGGGATCTCGACGATGTCAAAAGAGTCCGGAGACTCCCCAGCCCATCTCACAGGCGGCGCGTGGCGTGGCCGTTTACCTGGCAGCCTTGCCAGCATGCTACTGGTCTGAGCCACATTATGCACATCACACCTGGCATCGGAGTCATTTGGGGAAGCCAAAGCCCCCATCGCAAATTGAGTTTGCCCTTTTCTGAGACCACGCTATATGTGGAGCTTCCATCGCGCAAGGCCAAAACGCCAAACACAGTTCGTCATATGTTGACTTGGCTTCTCTAAATGAGACCCCCCATGCGTGGAATTTCGTGGCAAAGCACACGCGCGGACCCCTTCATATCCCTCAAGGAGATTTGCCCAAATGAGACCGTGGATCCCTGTAAATTCCTAGGTGTCTAAACGTGTGGAACAGTAGGAGTTTCCCGTTCAGGGTTGGAATGGGAACCCCCATTATAAATAGAGTTTTCCTGAGAATGAGACCCCTCTACGTGTGGAGCTATGTGTAAGGCCTGGAAGTGCCCAAAGCGAAAGACATGGACCACGTGTGTGGACCCCTTTGATTTCCTCAAAAAGAAGAAGCTTCAGCTGCCAATGTACGAGGTCTGGATGCGCCCAAAGAGGGAAACACAAACAAATTTCGTCTGTCGTCTCCAAATGAGAAGCCCTATGCGTGGAGCCTCTCATTCACGAGTCTCGAAATACTGTCTGGAAATACTGCAAATGGCCGCAGGCTTATTGTGGTACATCAAGCATTGGGCCTCCTTCCGAGCCCCCATATGTGGAACTATAGGAGCTTCATTTTAGAGTCGGAACCGAACCGAACCGAGTCCTTGAAAACCTTCAGGAAGCGAACCGAACTGAACCGTTGGACAATATTCAGAAACCGAACCGAACCGAACCGAAATTGTTTCCTTAAAGCCGAAACCGAACCGGAATTTCCCGAACCGGCAAATTAGAACCGAATCGACCCGAACCGAACCGAACCTTACTGAAACAAACAAACTCCTTTGAAATTTGGACCTGCGCTTGGCCCACCATTCTGTAGCTCTCTGCGGCTCTCGTTCTGGCCCCTTAAGCCAGGTAACCAGCTCACGCATTTCGGCGCCGACTCACTCGCTGTAATAACAACGCTTCAAGGCAAACTAACGCACAGCATATACCTCAAAGCCAGCCAAGAGCGGACTGGCCGAGGCGGGCAACACGAAGCGTTTACAATAATTATACGATGAATGACAAACCTCACCACTACGTACCCTGCGAAAGCCAATCCATGAGTCCATGATGGGACCCTGCCTGACCAAAACACCCAACGGCTTTTGGCCCAAAAGGCCAATCATCTTCGTGACGTTGCTTCAGTGAGTGTTACCCTGATCAGTGAAAGTGGACAGACGCGCTTGGGAAGACCACCAGCCTCCTGAAAATGCCACACTTGTCCGCATTCATTGTTGTTGGAAAGGGGTACGGTACCCTCTTCCCCGGACTGTCATCTCTCAAACGTCCTCCACACGCTTCAAGTCTGTGTTCAGGCCGTTCAGCTTTGCGATAGCGGCCTGGCCGCATGGAACTGACGCAGCCATCCACACACATCCACACAACCGAAACAACGTGGCTCACTTGCCCGAAGGACCTGGAAATCAAAGGTTGATCTTTCGGCGTCCTGACTTAACATGGACAAGGGAAAACCAACAGGCTAAAAGGTCGGCGTTGAACCAACAAAAAGGAACCAACACGACGTAACAAGGTCGAACAAGTGGGGCTACACCCCTGCCAGCTGAAAGGAAACCAAAAGGAGGTCACTCGTCTTGGGGGACATGCTGGCCCGGTCAAAAAGAGGGCCAGCCTGCAGGGCAGCATCGCTGCCAGCCAACTTGTCCTGGCGCATGGCCCGATTTCGGCAGCGGCTCGTGCATCCAGGTGCTTCCAGCTACCGCTTCAGTGCCAGTAGTGGGTAGCCAACAGCCTCTCTTCTAGACATGCGCTCCAGCCACCCATAGTTGTTCAACAGGGCGTGTACTCCGTCTTAGTTTTTTCACCCAGTCCGCAAAAACTTAGAGGAAGGAAACCCTGGGTACAATCTACCGGATACACAATGTGTTCGCTCATCCTTTTCACCACGGGCAAAAAAAAACAGATATTGCCAAAGTGGCCCAACGTTGAACCAGTCGCTTCGCTGGGTCTCACGAATAACAAAACATAGTTCGCGCCTGCATATCCTTCTTCTTCTGCGCGGCGTTCTCCAGCTGGTCGCCCTTCTTTTCCTCCTCATCCTCCTTGGCCCTTGCATGATCCTGCGTGGTGTGAGTTTTTTGGGAGGGATGCCTGTTGGGCAAACCGAAGAAAGAAAAAAAAACTCCTCCTCCATTGTCGGGGGGCCAAATCCCTACTTGACGCACCAACTTGTGATCAATGGGAATACTTCCAATACCCAGAGCACGGCAGGCTAAACGTGGCGTTTGCTTAGGACCAAAAGAACAATGTCATGCTGACCCCGGATTAATAAACCCCCCTGTCCCTGCTTATGAATACAGGGGTGTCCCTTTTTTAGCGGGGAATCAGGCCACTGTTGGAGGGGCCCCAACCCCCCTATGAATAAGCAGGAGTTTACTAATCCGGGGCCAACATTGTTTCTCCAACAGTTGTCAGTGGATAGTGAAGGCGTTTCAAAAGCCGGGTCCATGGCTACCACAAGCTGCAGAACCATTGGAGCGAAGGTTCAAAATTTCAAAGACTTGGTACCTTGTTGGCCTAAGCATAGGCCCGGAACCGCCTCAGGAACCGTGTCCAAAATAGTGCGATGTCCCAGGTAAGTGGCTCACGGACATAGATTGCGGCCATCTTCGCCAAGAACTGATACAGCACAGAACTATCTGCAACATCTACAAAAAACAAGTCCCAAAAACCTCAAATGAGGGACCCCCAAAGTAAAGGACACACATCATGGTTATCTCGTTTTACACCCAGATGAGCTTGTAAACAAAATGGATCCATACATGGATTCATGGATGAGCCGCCGACAATTCCACTCCTTCAGCGAAATAATATCCTCCGGGAGGCCTTTGGCAAGAGGAAACCAGGACCACTTGTTGGCAGGACATCACATCTTGTCCACCTTTTGGTCGTCAAAAAGCGGCCGTGTTTGTTTGGGGCCGTGTTCAAGGGAACTCCAGGGGAACCGGGGGTCCCAGAGATGGCGAACAAATCGGGTGGACTGTCTGCGATGATTCCATGTAGTGCGTATCTCCCAGATCAGAAGTCTAGGGGGCTTAACCGGCTGGATGGTTGCGAGATCCGCTTCACCACCGTTCAGAAACCCTGGCATGATTCTAAGGGTTGATTCCTTGTCCATTCGTTTCAACCATCGTTCTAAAAACAAAAGGTGTTTCCCTGGGTTTCTGGAGGTTTTCTAGAAAGAAGTATCCCTGCAAAGAATGGGGAAGGTAGCACTAGAATGATGATTCCCCAACAAAAAAAAGAATGGTTTCCCCAGGCTTCATAGTGGTTTTCATGATTTTGTCCATCCACAGCATAACCCACTGAGCAGACTTAACTCGGGATGTTTACCCGGCGGTCGAAGCGAAGCGAAGACCACACCTTCAGCTCCGGAGTTTTGGACAGCAGGATGCCCAGCTGGTACTGCGGCGCCAGAAAACAGGGGTCAAAGAAATCTACCACCAAGATGGTCTTCCCACAGGTCCAGAAACTTCAGAGCTACGTTCAACCTTGGCTTTAAAAGGAAAACAACAGAAACACACACCCAATAGAGCTGCCTGTTTCTGTCGAACCGTAATTCATTTAACTCGGTGCTCAATAGGTCGGAACCGAAATCGAGACATATCGAAGGATATGTCCCCTCATGGGTCAACTCAAGAAACAAAAGTGTGTGATGACACCGGGATCCGTTTCGCATGCCGACTGCCTAGGATTCTATGTGTCCAAAAGTGGGATCGGACCCCTTTTGGTTTGTAAAGGGAAGGACAAAGGAAACCAGCACCAGCCATTTCGGAAGGGGAGGGTCACTGTTGTTAGGACACAAGCATGCATCTTCTGGGGCATGCCGGGCTTTGCTTTCTATTTTTTGTGTTAAAGCAAATCACCATGCCGACGGCGGGTTTCCGAGTTGCCACCCACCATGCTCAAGAAGGAAGCCCCCTCTCGGAAATTTGAAGTGCAAAGAAAGGAATGCCCAACATTTCCAAGTGGGGCCGGGTTGGACCACCAACCCATGATAAGACTTTTGCTTGGGATCTGACAAAAACCCTTGGCCTCCAAACCCTTCCATGAACACTTCAAGGTCAATCTGGCCTAACTGTACTTGCCACAAAGGACGCGACAGCGCCAATATAGGCGGGAACTATGGGACATCCATTGCAGGCCATGGATGTGGATTCTCTTAACCAATGGCTCCAGGATGCTCCAGGCTTTTTTGGGTCGCCTTCGGCTGGATTCTCTTGAAGCCTCAGAATCACTTCAAAGCCATGCTCTAGCTTGGATTGCTTAGTTGGCCGGAGGCCTCCGGTGGCAACCCTAACAGTAGCCTGACATGATGCAAGCAAAAGCAATGATGCCTATTGTTGGGTGCTGCAACCACTGCACGCAAGTTGCTGGCTCCGTGCTCTCATGCTTCATCACAAGATCGCCGACTAGCGACTTGCCTTTCCACTTCCTGTTCGTATGGTTGAGAAAGCTGAGCGCTGCATTCAGCGAAGCCCCCCAATGGCCCAAACGCAGGTCTCCAGCGCCGCATTTTCTTCCGAGCCCGGGGATTGCCGGACTGAAAACTCCGCCTCTGCAGCGTTGTACTTCGGCTGCATCTGCTCCAGGGTCTTCTTCGCCTACAAGGGCCCAGCGACCCGCGGCACTCGGGGAGCTGAAGTGTTGAGGACTGGCAGGGACCCCGGATGCTTCAGACCCTCTGGGCCTTTCCAAAACTGGGTGAACACCATGGTTGAGATCACTATCAAGATTTCGTTCCCTGTGAAGAACCTCAAAGGGGTCCTGAAGTTCAACACTCACATGTGCCATGCTTGTTTCCTGAAAAAGACATCTTGGACATGGTCAAAACTCGCTAAAGGTCTCCCTAGCAAGGTCCTGCCATCCCCCCCAACAACCAAGTTTTTAGACCACGGCAACTGTGTGCCATCAACACTCCTTCTGCAGTTGTGGCCATGGCTCATGGGCTGATTTGAGGCTCCGAGTTCCTGGCCCGCGATTCTCCTCTTACAGGGATCTCCAGTCAGGTTGCAAGCTAGTTGGTACATTTGGGTACATATGGGTGTCGGCTTTTTGAGATACCCTTTTCAGGTTGGTGAAAAGAAGCCCAAAGAAAAACACCCTTGGGGGCCCTGTTTGCACACATACCCATGTGTGTTGCTGCGTCCTCACCTCGTCGGTCTTCTTCTTCAGGTCGTCGCGCCTCTTCTTTGCCACAGCAACGGCAACCATGTGGGCCTGGCATATAACTTTGCTCCGCAGTAAAAGTGACTCCCAAACGATGGATGAAAGGTTCAAAGGACCCCCTCCCCCAAGAAAAAGGTCAATTTGAGAACCCTAAAATGTTCACTTCGGTTCAATGGGTCCGCAATCCTGGCACCAACTCTCCCTCTAGAACAACCTGACGAAACCAAACGTTAACGCAAGAACATCCATATTATATGTCCCCTTCAAACATCACCCCAAAGGGAAACTTTAACGGACACAGGGAGTACATCCGAAGCAGCTTAGACTCATTGGAATGACCAAGAGGCAATTCAGCCATCCCGGGCCGCGAGCAAGCAGGTCTCTTCATGAAATTCCATCCGAACTCCAAACACTTCAATGAGAAAAAAAACAAACTAAGTCACTAATCAATGAACACCGAGACCATAAAACCCGCTCTTTCTAAGGTCAGTCACCGACCCTTAGGTTACAACCAGCAAATGGATCCTGCCTGTGGGATGGTTCCCATCCCCCCGCGCCTTGTAGCCATCCTCAGCCCGCTTGGACTCTTCATGAGCTTTGTCATAGAGTTCCCCCGCGGCTGCTACCTCCATGGCCTGCTTGTCGATCTCCTAACAGTCCAATCCCTGACATATCGAGAGGGACTTGGCTGTCCGTCCTCAGATCCGCCGCCAAAAGCTGAACTTTGAGTGGGTTAAATGGAAATCCTGACAGGCTCTAAAAAACTTACGGTATGGCTGGGAAGCACCAAGGGGATACTAAGCTTTTGCCTTGGTGGTTTGGAGCCTGGTTGTTTTGGGTAAGGGCTGGCTTGCCATGTACCTACAAGAACCACCTCTTCGAATCGAAATCCAAACCACCAATCCAAACAACCAGCCAAGGGTTCCCTGACTGTTGCAAGATGTTAAAATCGGCAAGCCTCTGCTAACTTACTTTAGCGGCAGCTGACAGCACCTGCTTGGTGGATTCCCGTTTGACCCGGACTGCCGCATCTCACTTCAAGGGGCGTACCCTTGTTATCACGAAAGCCACCGCAAAAATTCATTGTTCCACAACCATGGCTCGGGAACAACAACCGCTGCGGGAAGTTAGTGGTTGCTTTGTGTTGACAGCATGTTCAAACTCGTAGTGGGAACCCTTGGCAACCTACAGGACACTGAAATCATTGAAAGTCCCATGAACGTCGGGCCACCTGTTGCTGCCCTGTAACACAGTAAGAGGATCTTCAACCTGTTGCGGGACCCGCGTGGCGATACCCAGTTTGTGGGAGTGGATCAGTGCTTGAAATTGGTCTGAGTCACTCTCCGCACAATCATCAAGCAGGGGTTGTGGGGGCCTTTTTGCTCAGACCAAAATGGGGAAAACCAAAAGGTCAAAAGGTCAGCCTTGGGCAAGTGAGAAGGCAAGTATATACGGGAGCCTGTACATTTAGCATAAGCTTGGCCTTGTGTACCCCTTATACACACATGGTATCTCCACAAGCTCCGTACCCCCAAACGCTATAACACCTTCCCTGGACATGATCTCAAGTTGGAGCCTGGTTGTTTTGGGTAAGGGCTGGCTTGCCATGTACCTACAAGAACCACCTCTTCGAATCGAAATCCAAACCACCAATCCAAACAAAAAGCCAAGGGTTCCCTGACTGTTCCAAGATGTTAAAATCGGCAAGCCTCTGCTTGGTGGATTCCCGTTTGACCCGGACTGCCGCATCTCACTTCAAGGGGCGTACCCTTGTTATCACGAAAGCCACCGCAAAAGTTCATTTTTCCACAACCATGGCTCGGGAACAACAACCGCTGCGGGAAGTTAGTGGTTGCTTTGTGTTGACAGCATGTTCAAACTCGTAGTGGGAACCCTTGGCAACCTACAGGACACTGAAATCATTGAAAGTCCCATGAACGTCGGGCCACCTGTTGCTGCCCTGTAACACAGTAAGAGGATCTTCAACCTGTTGCGGGACCCGCGTGGCGATACCCAGTTTGTGGGAGTGGATCAGTGCTTGAAATTGGTCTGGGTCACTCTCCGCACAATCATCAAGCAGGGGTTGTGGGGGCCTTTTTGCTCAGACCAAAATGGGGAAAACCAAAAGGTCAAAAGGTCAGCCTTGGGCAAGTGAGAAGGCAAGTATATACGGGAGCCTGTACATTTAGCATAAGCTTGCAAGGCCTTGTGTACCCCTTATACACACGTGGTATCTCCACAAGCTCCGTACCCCCAAACTCCACAACACCTTCCCTGGACATGATCTCACTTCCTGAGTGGATTGGCCAGAAGAGATCAACCTTGCCTTTACCGTTTACCACTTCCCAAAATGCAAGTCCAGAATGTCCGGCCCAAGTTATTCATAGGGCCCAGCATCCGGAGACCAAACCTAGGTCCTCCAGTAGAGAGGTTAGAATAAGGGTAGTCTATTTTAGTAGGGGAACCCTCACCCAAAAAAGAAACGGTAAAAGGGCACTACTAATTAGATAAGAGACCTAGAAACAAACATCGGTAAGAAACCCGACGCTGGCTCCTCCTGATTTCGGGAGAGGTCCGCCGAGGTGCGCGCCACCGTCTCTGCCTGAAGTTTCACGAGTTGACCCAGCCATGGCGTGAACTTGGAAGGACAAGCCAACCGGAAAACCACCTATTCCTGATGGGCAAAAACCAACAACAGCTGCCACGAGTATCGGTATCCTTTTCGGGGAGACAGAAAGAACCACCCCCATTTTGAAGGATTCGCAGGTTCAAATACAACCCAGCAACGCACTTGCGTCTCTTCGGCTGTTCGTGTCATCCCAGTGAAAACGGCCGAGAGGACATCGCTGAAGCTGGTGCAAGGACAGGGCTGACAGATCCTCCTATCCCTGTTGACCTCCCGTTCCAACCACGCTTGACATGGGCTTTCCAAAGAAGGGCTGCTCCTGCGTTTAAAGAACACCCAAAGGAAAGGATGAACACGGATCCTCGCGTGGATGTTTCAATGGCAAGGCTCGAGCTGACCGCCTGAGTAAAAAGGTATGATACTGATCAGCCGAAAGTAACTCAGAAAGGAACACCCGGCATGAGGCTTAAACACATCAGCTGAACATCATGTGATGGCTGGCATATGGTTGGAACGAACACCCAGGAACACAACAAGTCCCCCGGTCCCGCAAATCAGCTCCCTGGTAAGGAAATGCACTATTTTTTGAAGCTCTTCTAACTAAGAGACATCAAGTTAGTACTGTGGATGGACGAAATCCTGCACCACCTAAGAACCCTGGAATGATGATTCCCCTCCAAATACCGAGCAAGGGTGTCTCGTGGTTTCTTCTCTGTGCGAAATGGGCGTTGCCTTTCCCGCAGTAATTTCTTTCCGCAAAAAAAAACTAGACCACGGTTGGCCCGAAAGCAGAACATCGCAAGCGAGGTCGGCCCAACGCTGCAGGATGCGTTCTTTTTCCCTACACGAAGCATTCGTGAAGCAAGCGCGAGACAGCACCAGGCAAGGTGCTCTGTGCAAGTTGCTCTGTGCAAGTTGCTCTGCGTAAGTTGCTCTGCGCAAGTTGCTCTGCGCAAGTTGCTCTAGGCAAGGCGCTCTGCGCAAACTGGTCGGTGCAAGTTGGTCTGCGCAAGTTGCTCTGTGCAACTTGCTCTGCGCAAGTTGCTCTGCGCAAGTTGCTTTAAAATGCAAGTTGCATCTTGCGACGCCCGCCCGCGGACCAGGGAGGAATCGAACCCGCGACCCGCCGGTTCCGGGAGCAGGCGCGCGAACCACGAGACAACTCCCGAGGACCAGTTCGAACAACAAAAGTCGCAAAAAACCTCGAGTTTTTGCACCTCGACCACGCCGATCCCCGCAGAGGGTCGCGCGAGCACCGCAGAAATCGCAAAAAAAAAGGTTTTTGCACCTCGACCACGCCGATCCCCGCAGAGGGTCGCGCGAGCAAAAAACCATGGGTTTTTGCACCTCGACCACGCCGATCCCCGCAGAGGGTCGCGCGAGCCGAATTAGAAATCGCAAAAAAAACCATGGGTTTTTGCACCTCGACCACGCCGATCCCCGCAGAGGTCGATTTTCGTGTAGTGTCGTCGGCACTACCCCGCCGCCCTAAGAAGAGATTTTAACTCCTCGCAAGTCAATTGCACTTGACTCCTTGCACTTGCAACTTGCACTTGACTCCTTGCTTGTTTCAAGGAGTCATTGCAAGGAGTCATTGCAAGGAGTCATTGCAAGGAGTCATTGCAAGGAGTCATGGCAAGGAGTCATTGCAAGGAGTCATTGCAAGGAGTCATTGCAAGGAGTCATTGCAAGGAGTCATTGCAAGGAGTCATGAGAGCCATTGCAAGTTGCAAGGAGCCAAGTGCATGGAGTCAAGTGCAAGTCGCAAGTGCACGGAGTTAAGTGCAAGTTGCAAGTGCAAGGAGCCAAGTGCCAGCCAAGTGCAAGTGCATGGAGTCAAGTGCAAGTTGCAAGTGCATGGAGTCAAGTGCAAGTTGCAAGTGCAAGGAGTCAAGTGCAAGTTGCAATTGCAAGGAGTCAAGTGCAAGTTGCAATCCTTGCCATGACTCCTTGCAATGACTCCTTGCAATGACTCCTTGCAATGACTCCTTGCAATGACTCCTTGCAATGACTCCTTGCCTCCTTGCAATGACTCCTTGCAATGACTCCTTGCAATGACTCCTTGCAATGACTCCTTGCAATGACTCCTTGCAATGACTCCTTGCAACAATGACTCCTTGCAATGACTCCTTGCAATGCAATGACTCCTTGCAATGACTCCTTGCAATGACTCCTTGCAATGACTCCTTGCAATGACTCCTTGCAATGACTCCTTGCAATGACTCCTTGCAATGACTCCTTGCAATGACTCCTTGCAATGACTCCTTGCAATGACTCCTTGCAATGACTCCTTGCAATGACTCCTTGCAATGACTTTTGCAATGACTTTCATGATGATGATTCCTTGCAATGACTCCTTGCAATGACTTTCATGATGCTGATTCCTTGCAATGACACCTTGTAATGACTTTCATGATGATGATTCCTTGCAATGACTCCTTGCAATGACTTTCATGATGCTGATTCCTTGCAATGACACCTTGCAATGACTTTCATGATGATGATTCCTTGCAATGACTCCTTGCAATGACTTTGATGATGATGATTCCTTGCAATGACTCCTTGCAATGACTTTCAATGACTGCTGATTTGCCTTTGCAATGACATGATGATGATTCCTTGCAATGACTCCTTGCAATGACTTTCATGATGCTGATTCCTTGCAATGACTCCTTGCAATGACTTTCATGATGCTGATTCCTTGCAATGACACCTTGCAATGACTTTCATGATGATGATTCCTTGCAATGACTCCTTGCAATGACTTTCATGATGCTGATTCCTTGCAATGACACCTTGTAATGACTCTCATGAGAACAACTCAAGTGAACCCAGCGGAAGAACCCTTCGCCATGCTTTCGGGAAAAAACGCGAAGCGGTCGCCTGGGAGTGCACAAAGCGGGTGAGGTTGTCGTGCTGGTCGTCCAGAGCCTTGAGCCTGGGGTCCTCAAGAGACGTGGGACGATGACATGGCGCCGTTTTTAAGGGGCCCCCGTGTTCTTTTTAGGACTTGAACGCGCCAAATGGAGGGGTCTTCCTTCTTTTTCAAGGTTGGAACCCCCAAAACAGGGAGGCAGTCCTTCGTTTTTCAGGCTGGACCCGCCCAAGATGGTTGGTTTCATTATTTTGCTTCCTGTATGGGTCCAATTTCTTCTTGTCCCCCTGGAAAAATGAGAAAATATGTCAAGGTGAAATGGAATCCCTTTAAAACCCGGGGAAAATAAGAACGGTTTCATTTCAGCAAATGGAAGTGTGGGTCTGTCTTTTCTTTTAGGAATCAGACCCCCACAATGGGTGGTTGTAATCCGTTTGGTTTCCCTTTAGCACCCTTAAAAAGACACCCTATGAACCACGGTGAAAAAATATTGTTCTACACTATGTCCCTCCCAGAGCCATAGAGTAATTGACTTCGAGTTGAACTTCTACGTGCCTCTGAAAGTGGTTTAACACATTATTTGCGGCTCTCTTTGAACTTCATTTCGTGGATTTATGAAACCTATGTCCGCCAACCATCCGGGAAAGTATTCCTTACCAAATGTCCAAGCCACGTTGAAGGCGCTGCGGCATCCCACTTTGCGCAGTAAGGCATACCGGGTATCCATCCATCAACATTCAGGTGGGTTTCGGCCGAGTGTTCTGCATGCTCTGGCCTACAGAACTGGAAGGACAACTTGCATAGGGGAAACTTGCTCAGAGAGAGACTTGTGCAAAAAGAGACACTGAGAGACTTGCAGAGAACTTGCTCAGAACTTGCTCAAAGAAACCTGGCCAGAGAGACTTGCTGCGAGAAAGTAGCTGAGACACACTCAAGGAAATGGCTGCAGACAACAAAATGATCAGAGGACTTGCTCAGAAGACTTGCCCAAAGAACATACTTGCTCTGAGACTCGGATAACTTGCTCTGAGAGCTTGCTCAAATACACGTGTTGAAAGAACTTCTCCGAGAACTTGCTTGGATATAGATAGTTTTTTTGTTTTTTCTACTATCTAGATCAACACGCATTAAAGCCTTGCCAGGCAAAGCGTGGGAACGTACGCACTTCCCGGGAGTGCAACAAATCGGGCGGGCCGACCTTCAAAAGCTCGACGGAAATGACACTTTCGTGCTGTGCGAGGAACCCTCCGAGTGGATTAAATGGGTGGATCCGCACAAATGCTGCACACACATGTTTTGTTTATTGAAGAAGTGTGCTCCAGAGCTTGTCTGGTGGTTTGAGTGCCTACTTGTGGAAGCCAGCGCACAGGGAAAGCCTGGGGCGCATCAGCAGACTGATGCTCCTTTTGGCAGCATGGTGCACAATTTCAAGAAGGGGCAAACGCCGCAAAGGACAAGAGCTCTTACTTAGCCTTCGTGTAGGGTCGTTTGCTCCTGTTAACAGAATGGTGCGCAACTTCCGAGACATTTCAATCTGGAACCGGCCCAGGCCCACAAAAGCTTATTGCCCGAATCGCGAAGGGTTCTTCCGCTGGGTTCTCTTGAGCTGGACTACATCAAGGGCTCGCGTAGAGCTCAGAAGAACTTGGTCAGAGAAACCTGCTCAGAGAGAGAGATAGAGAGAGAGACTTGCTTAGAGTCACGCACAAGGACTTGCTCACAGAACTTGCTCAGCGACACCTGCAATGAATAACCTTCAGGAGCTTGATCAATGAACTTACCTTGAAGCTTGTAATTAGTCAAATATGCTTCCCCCACACCAGTCGTGAAAGCAGTGGATTGAGTTGACCATGTGCGGCGCATGGTCAAACCCCGTCCGTGCCCTTCACGGACACGGTGTCGGTGTGGTTTTTTAAGGCCACAGTGTGGTTCTTCACGTACACTGGCTTCTCCACCTGCACCTCGGAATGGCCAAGATTTCTAGACCCTCAAATGAGACCCCGATTCAACTGCCAAGTCGGGTGGCTTCAGAGTGCAGTTCTCCTAAGCCCAAAAGGGACCTGTAGGAAAAAGAGGTGTTGCCAAAAGCAACTTTCTCCCTCCAAAACAGTAACCCAAAGTGAATGTCATTGTAGGTCGACCATGTCTAACGAGAAACTCGTATCCTAATAAAGCCGTACGGCTTGCAATGCTATATGTACACCAGAATGGAGCTTAATACCTCAAGGGAGTCGAGGTATTAGGGGTAGGGCAAACAAGCAAGGCCCATGAAACTTGAATGAGTCGCCCCTTAAGAGAGGTTCGCCCATTCGGGATCCTCTGATCCTCCATTTGACAAACCCGAAGTTGCCGAACCCAGTGCTTGCAGTTTCCACTGCAGCAGGCAACCAGGGTTTCTTGCCTCCAAGTCTTACATGACGCTTGTCCCGGGATACCCTCTTGTGCGTCATGCTCATCCTTGTCAAATTTAGGATATTGCAGGTCCGGCGCCGGATAAACCCCTGAAAGGTCTCGACGTGGAAAGCAGCTCAAGGGCGTTGTTCAACCCCAACCCCCGCTAAAAGGATGTGCAATCACTCTCCGCCGCGGGGTGCCAGGGTCATGGCCCCATTCATGATTGATTGGTCATCCTTCCGATTTGTGTTTTGTTAAAATGGTCTCTTGGATTTTTGGAAATCCACATCTCAATTGGAAGCAGTGGGTTCCCGCTTCCCCAAACTCGAGAAAGGAGTCCACCACCCCACACCAAAACAACATAAACGGCCTCGTAGAAGCTGATCACTCCATTTGTCCAAAAGACCTAGAGATCACACCCTTGGGCCATCACTGCAAACCATGGCCACAGTTCAGCTCAAGCCACTTCGGCGCAAAAACAGAAAACAAGCGAGTGCCTATGACAAACAACAGTTGCTAGGCAGGGAACGTGGGAAGAACCATTTACCAACCACCAGTCGGTTCTGTGGCTGCAAAATGGACTTGTCCACTCCCATTTTGCCCAAGCCAGAAAAGAAGCCCACTGACCGAACTGCAGAGACCTTTGCCCGGTTTCCCTCCAGGGCCAGCGCAAGAGACTCCTTAGGCGAGCGCGAGATGCACCTACCATGGGCCTTGAGATTCACCCAGCGGATTCCTTAAAGGGAAGCCCTACCGACCGGAACCTTCCCTGAAGGCCCCAAACCACCCTGGTCGCCTATCTGGACCCATGGACCCCAAAGGCTTCGGCTGCATCAGGGCTTCCGAGCACCAGTAGCACCACTAGTAGTACTGGTGCTAGTACCAGTGGTGGTGGTGGCAGTAGTAATAGCAGTAATAGCAGCGATACTAGTAGCTGGAAATCTTGATGTGGGTCCCTCCCGCCATGGAAACCCCCTGTTTCGCCGGGTTTGCGGAGCAAAACAATAGGAAAATAATCAGAAAGGCAATCTGACGGAGGGGTCCATAAGGACCAAAGACCAAACACGTGGCTGCCAACGAAACACAATGCCAAATGAAATCACTGGATCGATCCATGATGTGTGACCGGTAAGAGCAAAATCCACCCTTTCATTGGGGATGCACTTTCATTATGTGCACCTAAGTGACAATCTTTCCAATCTGGATGAATCACAATCATTGATCAAGCTGAACTGGGCCGTCGTCAAAAGAAGCCGATTCAGAGGGCCATATTTTTCTGCACAGAGACATTTAATTGCTTTTGACCCCCCCCCCCCCCGGCAAAAAGTGAATCACTTTGTGTGGGAAAATCCTGTGTTTCAATCCAGAAATTATTCAGTCCACAGATCCAGATTAATCAATAACCAGTGTGGGAAGCCACTCCTAACCACCAGGTTCACACCCCGTCTTTTTTGTTAGTTTAGCCATAGAAGCCTCTGTGAAACCGCTTCAATTTCCAATGGAAACGGCCAATCCGAGGGTGGGACCCGTTTCGTGAGGTTGGATTTGTTGAGAAGCTCGTCCAAGGTCTTCTCCACCTGGAGCAAAACCCTGTCGAATCCAAGTGGAAAACTCAAGGCTTCCGCCCATGTAACATGGAACCAGGTCCTGAAAGGCAATTCTCCTCTAAAACCAGACCCTCTGGTGGGTTCCACGTTAGCGGACGGGCGGGTACCCTCTTTTGAAATCAGAGTCATGGAAGTAGAAAGGAAGCCTTTGAAAACGGTTCGTCTGCCTACAGTTTCCTCTCCACTGCTGTCCTTGACTTCCAAGAGCTCCATCGTGGAGCTTTGGCGGGGCGCATAAGACCAGATGGGCTTGCCCCATGTCGCGGCGGACGACTCTGTGTGCTGGCAAGAGGAAACTCAAATGAAAACAACACACGATATCTTCCATCTCCCGATGGCTGGGAGAAGCAGGTGATAGGTCGCACCTAACCCATTTGAAGAATAGTCAACACCTGGTACTGGATAGGTCGTCCAAAGGCCTTGGTCATTCAAACACCGCTGACACAAACCACAAACAAGCACGCAGGCCAAAGACAAAAGGCTTTCACCTTGGTCTCGGATTCTGCCAGTTCCAAACAAACATGCGGGCTCTGGCGATCCAACTCGCCTCAGCGCGCTCATCTTTGGAGAGGTTGGCGGACTTCAGCGCCTGCTCCACCTCCGTAGTTGAGCTTCCACAACCCTCTCTTGGCCATTTCAGTATATGAGTCATACTCATTTTGACCTACCCAAAAGCATGCGAAGAATTGCGTTTGTTTCACGCTAAGCTTCATCTACGCGGGCTTTGTTTGATTGTGGCTCAGGTGCTTCTGCCTGGCTCGATGGGGTGAAAGTAAGGTCTAAGCCTTACTGGGTGCAGGATTTAGTCTACTTTCCTTCTGCCAAGGGCCCAATGTGTGGCCCCTATGTCTGAGCCACACCCTTATGGCCTATTTTGGGTTTCCACTAAAGTGTTGAGGCAATACAACTCAGTCAAATCATGCCAAGGCATGCTTGTACTTCTCGGGACCTGATTGAGGGGTCTACATGGGTGTGTCAAACATTGTAGAACGTTGTTCCGGACATGTGTGGAGTCCTCAAGCACGTGGGCATATCTTGTAAGCTGGATGAGTGGATGGATGGATGGATGGATGGATGGATGGATGGATGGATGGATGGATGGATGGATGGATGGATGGATGGATGGATGGATGGATGGATGGATGGATGGATGGATGGATGGATGGATGGATGGATGGATGGATGGATGGATGGATGGATGGATGGATGGATGGATGGATGGATGGATGGATGGACGAAGGAAGAGACCACGTGGCACACGGCCTTATGACACGGTCCCTCCCGCCATTGTTGTCACCTTCGCGCCAAGACTCTTGATGGAGTTGAACATGCCGGCACGTCTTTCCTAAAGTGGTGGGTTGGAACACCCCAATGCACCGCAGTCAGGCCCTAAACGAACCCATGGAACCGGCTTACGTCTAGGGAAATACGCTGGAGTGAGGCCAGTTCTCTCAGCAGCTCTGCCCATCTTGGCGTTCGAGCACCAACACCTCTTGACTTTGACACTTGGCGCTTTGGCACTTTCGACCCAATCGCTGAGACCAGAATTCAAGGTGGGTTCTGAGTTGGCGAAGTCAGCTCCTCTGGCCACACCTTCTCTAGCTGGCAGCTGCAGTTCGAATAATTCATGGGTATGGCTCGTCAAGATAGGGAGCCTCACAAATAGTGACTTTGGGTTTGTTTTTAACCGCCGGGACAAGGTGAGGGCCGAAGTTCACCGTTCACAGCATCCCCGGACGGCCTCAGCATCGTACCTCGGGTACGAAGAACGGTTTCCGCGATGTGGTTGACAGGTCTGTCAAACATACAAAGGACACAAGGGGAACAACTGCAAACAAAAACTGTTTTGACTGACCTGTTTGCCTGAGTAAACAAAAACTGCTATGAGGACAAGGGGTGGCAAGCGAAGTGGAGCTGCTATTGAAAAGCTCAGTTGGGCAATGGACACAAAAGGGCAATCTTAATGGTCCCCTTTGAACTCTAGGTTGAAACCATCCCAAACACGCTACTGTCAAATCAACAACAACAACCAGAAGGCGTCACACTCAGATTTTACAAAAAGGCCACGAGTCGAGATGAAGGCATGCTAACACTCAGGTAGGTAGTTGCAACTGCCCAGAACTGGATCACATTGTTCGCAAGATTTGAATCAGCCATAAAGCACAAGTCTTTGTACTGTGCCCAGAAAACAGAGAACGACAAACCCTGTGCCAAGATGCTTCTGACTCTTCTTCCAGAAGGGCTTCTCTTCCGACACCTGCCAACCAATCACACCGAGTTCGGCTTGAGCGTCTTCTTTTGGGGCCCGAGGTAAGCGTACTTACATTTTTCGGGCGTGGTTTAATTCAGGCACCAAACAAAAGGCCGAGGGAGCTGCGACTGGACAACTATGGCTTCAAGCTGTTCGGCAACCACATCACAAGCATCCACATGACAGCCAGGCTGTGTGTGTGTGTTTGAGTTCGACAGTGCCTTGGTGCCGTTGTATTTGTGTGTATTCGTGCGTGTGCGGATGCGGGTTTGTGCTTCTATGTTTGTGTGTTAGTGCGTCTCTGCGCCCACCTATGTGTGTAAGCGCCCGCGCGTGTCTGTACATGTGCATCTGTGTGCGTCTGACAGAACTGTGTCTGTATTACGGCATGTCTTTGTCTCTGTATGTGTGTCGTGTGTGCGTGTGTGTGTCCGCGTGCCTGAGCGCATCTGAGTGCATCTGCGTGTGCTTCCGAATGTGGATGCGTGCGCACGTCCGCACTCTGTGTGTGTGTGTGCGCCTCTGTGCGTCTGTGTCTGTGTGACTGCGTGTCCGCGACTGTGTGTCGTGTCTGCTTCTGTGCTTAAATACGTAAACGTGGATGCAGATCTGTGTGCGCGTACGAACGCACACATGCGGGTGTCTTTTTGAGGGCGTGTTGCTACGTGTTAAAACAAGCAACACCTATGTGCGTATTATAGCGTACTGTACCGCAACCGTGCTATACTGTAGCATAGCGTAGGGTAGTTTTGTGTTTCTGCGTGTGCGTGCACAAAATACTACTTCAGAATGCTCACTCCAGCGCAGCAACATTTTCTTGCGCTGTGCAACTTCTACGATACATAGCTGTTGATGCAATGTGATGCGATGCGATGCGATGTATAAGGCAAGGTGGTGAAATGCAATGTAGTGCGTGTAGTGTGGCTTGATGCGGCCTGATGTTGTGTCTGTGTGTGTGTGTCTGCGTCACTGTGTCCGTGTCTGCATGTGCTTGCATCAACGTGGCCGAGCGCATCTGTGTTCATGTGCGTGTGCTTGCGAGTGTGTCTGCACCAGCGTGTTTCTGTCTGAACGCGTGTCTGTCCGTGCGCGTCTGCACTATGTGTCCGAGTCTGTGCGTGTTTGACTGTGTGGCTTTGTGCCCGTGTGTCTGTATCTGTGCGTCTGTGTGACTGCGCGCCTGCGCAACTAAGTGTGGGTGCCTTTGCTTGCGTCTGTGCGTGTGGGTGTGTCCGCGTCCATGTCCGGTCGGGCTCAAATATCTGGTTGTTGCAAAAACAAACACCTGCGTCTGCCCGGCGGTTTCTGGCTCTTGCTGGAACAACAAACGGCACCTCGCGTAGGTTCTAAACTGGATGCTGTAGTTTTGGCTCGTCGTTTTGCCACACATGGGTGGGTGTTGGAGTGCTGCTTAAGCGGCTCCAGTGTTCTTTGGGCTCATATACTTTGAATTTCATGTCTGGGGGAGTGCCGGGTTTTTTAATTGAATTTATGATTCGCGTCTGGTCGGTGTTTTCTTGTTAAATTATGTTGGGTTCCCCCTGGTCTTCCTTGATTAAGTGAACTGGTCACCCGATATGACCAAGTTGTTCTCAAAACAGCACAGTTCTAAGGAGATTGTGGTCAAACGTTTCAATCACGGGCATAGTTTGCGCTATTCAAGTTTGGTGTCCGTTGGTATGTGTTTGGCACCGGTTTGTTGACAGATAATCGGGCTGCACGTAATGTTGGTACGTGTGCGTCAAGCAACGATTGAACAGAAAGCTGGAAGCATTTCAACACATACCTGGACTCGGCAACGATGGATTTTTGCAGTCTCCCCTGAAATTTTGCCGCAGCACGCGGCGCCCCTGAAAACATGGCGCGAAAGCAGCAAACAAAAAACGCGCGAAAGCAACGCAAAACGACGCCCACAGTTGCGTCGTCATTGAGTTGCTTTTTTGGTCTTGGGCCCAGGTATGGGTGTGTATTTCTTTGCCGTTCCGAACCCGGGGAGTTTTCGGGGATATGTGTCGGGGTATGTTTTGAAAGGGTGCTTCGTACATGTGAGCCAGCGCGTGGGAAGGCGGAAGGCCGAGCAAAAGCTGTTGCGGTAGGTGGGGCATGCGCAGCTGCTGTGTCAGGCATCATTGCTGCCCTCACCTCCTCCATGCAAGCTCAGCACAAGCCCGTGCGCTACGTGCACCAGTCGAAAAAAATCGAACAGACCGCCTCCCTCTGTTCTCACAACGGGCAACAGTTGGGTTGCTGCGAGTTTACTATTATGGACTGTGGAAGTTGAGATTCCGACTTGTGCCATTGCGTCTGATGACCTGCTTCAGTCAAGCTGTCCAGGAATTGGCGTGAAACATTCTTGTGGGAGCATGGGTTGGACCGAGCCAGAGGCTTTTTGGAAGCCTTTGAGCGTGTCTCCCTACTTGGTTCCTTCCGAAAATCGCAGGTGACGGCCTGGGCACGCTGGGTTGTTGAAGCGCTGGCCCTCCTACTGTGTGTCATTTCGTGAAAAGACCGTGAAATGGGAGCCCACAAACCCATGCGAACAGGATGCGCGATGGGCAGGCTGGGAAAGCTACAACGCATTACAGTGCGCTTGCGCGAGCTTGGTGATCTTGGGAGGGTGCTCCAGAATAGGACGCGCGCACGCTGGAACTTCACGTCTCCTAAGAAACTGCGTCTGCAGAAAATGTTCGCATTCTTTTGGAGGCTCTTTTAGCAGCTTAAAAGTTCTAGAACGCATGAGATGGCGTGTCAAAGTCCTAAGCTTGCGCGACGCTGACTAAAAGGTGTTTACACGTGCTTGGCGGAAGGACTGAAAACCGCGAAAAGCGTAAATGCGGCTTGACCAAGCTTGTCTGGAAATGTTTGAGTTGGCCAAGTTAAACTTGGCCAAATAACCGTTTGGGCCCCTGTGTTGCGTTTTTGAATTCGCGCTTGAGGATGCCTGTGTTTTGTTTTAAACTTTTGAACTCATGCCAGGACCCTGGTGGGTTTCTTTGAAATCACGCCCGGGGGTTCAGCTGCTTGCTGTTGTTGAATTTATGCCTGCGGCCCCGGCGCTTTTTTGAGCTCAGCATGATTACACAAAAAACACCGCCAGGTGCGACTTCTAAAAGAAAAAACACCGGAGCCCCCAGAGGCGCATTCAAAAGAAAAATACGGAATGCCCGGCGTGCGATCTAAAAAGAAACACCGGAGCCCCCCGAGGGGAAATTCAAAAGAGAACTATGTGGTAGCTGTCTGTCACAGGCTCTGTCACAGCTGTCTGTCGCATCTGTCTGTGTGTCACAGGCTCTATCACAGGCTCTGTCACAGCTGTCTGTCACATCTGGCTGTCCAATCTGTCTGTCACAGGAGGCTCCGTCGGTGGGCGGGCTTGTCATGGAGGGCGGATGTCAATTAAAATCTAACAACTCCAAACCTGTCGGGTGGGGAACAAAACACACCGGTTCCAGGCTCCTCCCTCCCTCGGTGACAAGATGTGCCAAAGTGGCTTGGCGCCAAAGCTGACTCCATCCTCAAGTTTAGGTGACCCACCCCCCCAAGGCGCTCCCAGTGCAGCTTGCTATGCATATGGTCTTTGGACCCTTCACAGGCCTCCAATGATCACACATCCCGACAGTTGAGAAATTCCTGGGTGTCGTTTTGGATTTCTAATTGAATTGACTTTTCCAGTACCGATCGCGTTGATGTGTGCAGTTTGGGGCCAATCAGCACTTCGGACCCTTGTGTACTGTCCCCCTTGGCATGTCAGCATGCCCCTTTTCAACTCAGCAACCACATGTCGGTTTAGGCTTTGGGTCCTTTCAGGACACAAGTCGCCTCACTATAGTGGGGATTGATGCTACAGATTGAATTTGAGTGGCAAAAACAACCCTGCCCATTGAACAAGATGATCGCTATTGCACTATTCGTATGATTCATGGGCAGCGATTGAAAGTGAGCGGAAAAATCATGCGTGCCGATTCAACACCAAAATCGCCGTGTAAACACAATGATCGCTGTGCGCTAGATGGCATATCGGTGGCATTCATGAGCACCGATAGTTGGCATGGGGTCAACAAGTCATTCGGAACACCCTGTTTGGCGTCCTTCAATTCCCATACCCAGACCTACATTCTGCATCAGATTTCAATTTGATTGTAACCTTTGCTTTGCCCTACCAGTGATCTCATGGAACTGCAATCCTTCTCCACCAGTTCGATGGCCCGCTTGCTCTCCGTGTCCCAGTCAATGCGCAATGATGCAAAAGTGCAGGGCACCACGTGGCAAACCTTCCCGAGGCAGTGTCCGGCACAGAGTCCCAACACGCCCCAGTGAAAGACCGAGGCGAGGAGAAAAGCTGAGGGCAAACTGACACCCAAATAGCTTCGCATGGCCCATCGTCCGCTGAGGTTCTGCTGACCACAGGATGCCAACACCCCATTGTTGTAGGCTTGCACTGCATCCAGACTGCAGTAGAACAGCATGGGCAGAACCAGTGTGTCAAGGAGTTGGAGCACCTCATCATTTCTTGTAAAGAGAAGACCCCAGTGACGGGTGAAGCCGAGCAAAAACAATGCTGGAATTGTGATCCATAGAAGTATGAGTCGAAGCCCTGCTCGTGCAGCAATGGCAGCTTCTGCCGGGCGGCCAGCACCCAGTTGATTGCCGACTCGACTGCTGATAGATATTCGAAGTGCACCTGGAATCTGATAGCAGGTGACTTGTGTCAGGAAATAGATGGACAGGGCTGACAAACAGGTATCAGGATTGGGTAGCATGCCGGCGGCCAAGGTTAAGGCTTCTCCCACAAAATACTCTGTGTTCATGCAAACACCTGGCAAAGCGACTTCCAAGTAGGGCCCCCAATCCTTGAAAGCATCGCAACTGAAGCCCCGCCACGTGCCGGCACAAGTGGATGAGCAGGATATGTACAAGTAGATGAGCAAGGCCTGAAGCGCCGTACTCATGGTCGTTGCCACACCTGCACCCATGTAAGTCAAGGAGGTTGAATATGTGAGGTACACAGTCATGATGGCATGCAACGGAAGCACCCAGAGAATCACACACATCCATGGATGGTTGTTCCGTTGTGCAACCAGCCATACTCCAATGGAGCGCTGGATGCCTACGAAAGGCGACACCAACAGGACACAAAAAGCATAGTTGCCTGCAACAGTGGCAAAGGCCTCGTCCATGTGGAGGCCAAGCAAGATGGGCTTTATCATCGCCAACATCAAGACACAGGGCAAGGAGCCAAGCAATGCAACAAGCAAGGCTCTTTGTAGCACCAAGGCCACTGCCAAGTCATTGCCCGCTCCAAATGCTTGCGATGCCAAGGTTGATATGCCCACCTTGAGTCCTCCGACGATAGAAGTCCCAAAGAGATTATTCACACTGCTCGACAGACTCACAGGTCCCAGAATCTCCTTGCCCAGATGTCCGATTGCAATCAACGACAGCCAGGAGTATGATCGGTGTATCAAATTGGCACCGGCCACAGGCAGTGTCAAGCACACTTGGACCCATGCCTCGTCCCAAATCGGCTTGGCACAGCGGACGGGTTCTCCCTTTAAGGGATCCATGGCGGCTTATCCACAAAGGTACGGCAAGCAATGCCTCTTGGACCGAATGAGCCATCATACAGTACCTGATATGTACGGAGTCCGGCCGGACCTATCTATGGCAAGGACCGTACTAACCATCATTTGGCACCGGTTTGACTATGGCTCTCATTCAAACATTCAACGCCCTGCCGATATAACCTCCATGTCTGACCTGCTGAATTGACCGGCAAAGCAAAATCTCTGCTACTGTGGATGGACGAAATCCATTTCGCACCACCTAATAAGAAACCCTGGAATCTTGATTCCAGTGTTAACTACCAACAACCGTTATGGTTTCAAGCTTGGTTTCAACGTGCGAAATGGATTTTGTCCATGGGCACTGCGTATCATTCCTGCGTGCGCTCTGGCCTGCTCCACGGCGCCTTGGCTATCCAGCGCCAGCGACGCAGGCCTCTCCTCGCTTGGACTACCCATTTTGGGCTTTGGTGTTCCTGTTGCTATCCCCAAAATGGGCTTCGGTGTTCCTTATCCCAAAGGGGTTTCGGGGCGCCGAAATTTGGTCTCCCTTCAAAACAAGATCCTGTACAAGGTGCCATCAAAACCACACGAGCACGCACACGCACACGCACAGTTGCAACCAGTGACCTGTTCAGTCGAAAAGGGAAGTACCGTTTTGAGGTTGATTTGTGTGGGAACGAGCCCCCTCTTTTTGCATATTATCTCACTCATTGACAAGTCTTAGATTGAGAGTTCTTGGCTGGCTTCTTATCTGAGATTGAGAAGCCAAAAGGAAAGAGATATCACTTTGGGAGTTCTTCTTTGTTGGGAATCTCTATTCACTTTGTCTTTATCCTTTACACTTTACCATTCCTTCCCTCCGTTCTTTTCATCCATAATTATCCTGTCTGTGGAATGAATCCGAACGAAGTGACGGGTAAGCATTCACATGCTATCTCTTTACCTTACAACTCTATTTATAATCTCATTCTAGTGTTTTTATTATTTACTTCTTTCCTCATGGTCTTATCATCTACCTGTCAATGACAGAGGGAACATGAAGGAAAGTGATAAATAAAGAAATATTCTATCTCTTCCCTGTCCTACCGTCAAATCTCTGGAAACTGAAAGACAAAGATAAAGAAAGAGATAACATGAGATAGTAAATAGAGTGGAGTGACAGGGAATGCAGTGACCAAGGGACAGGAAGGTAAGGGATGACACACATGAAATCTCTTCCTATCTCCTTCCCCCTCTCTTCGTTCGGTTGGCCACTATTCTCGTTACATCATGTGGTTGAAAAAGAGAAGAAGGAGATGGATTAAGATATGAAAATAATAAAGACACCAAACAGTAATAAAGAGAAAAGAGATGAATCGATGTATATAGATGTGTAATGCATGAGATCCCTTCTGTAAAAGCAATTAAAAGGATTGTGTTTCTCTTCTCTGTTCCCTTCACTGACTAAGACTTACCCATTCATTCCGTTCCTATATTTTTCATAGGTTATCCCTTTCTTTATCATCTTAATATCTTATCTCATATTATTCCTTACAAATTAGCTCGTCAAGATCTTAGGATTACCAGCATGAAGATGCATGAGGTGAAAAGGAAGGACCATAATTATTTGATCTTTATGCGTCTCCCTTTATCAACTGCCACACGACACGGTGAGTCAAGATGCAGTTGATGGGAGAGAAAGATAAATGTCATCATCTTACCAAGCCTTCCTTCGATTACCTGTCTGACATGAGAACCCGAAGGTACAGAGGGGAAGTAATAAGATATCTCTGTTCCGTTCATTCATAACTTTCGGGAAGGTAAATAGAAATGCTAATAATAAAAGAAAAGGAAAGGAAGAACCGAATGGATCTTGGACAACCCGAAAAAGCCACTTCCACAGGTCTGCAGCCGCGATCACTGAAGGGGCCCAAAGCACGAGCCAGAAGTCAGCCGCCCCATCAATTCCGGGGGGCAAAACATGTTTCCGGAACATGCAACAACCAAAAGATACCACAAGCAGGAGATTAGCTTTTGGAAACCACTCACGAAAGCGGTCAGAACCTCATTCAAGATGGTAGTCTTTCCAAACTCTGTCCGCTTCCAACATTGTTGAAAAGGAGGTATGAGGAACCAGCCAAGCGCACCAGCCGTTTGCCTCAGTGAGCTCGTTGAGCGCCATCTTCACCGCACCAGCAGCTGTAGCCTCCTGAGTCAAGGCTCGCAAGGGATTTGTTTACATCCCTGTAAAGCAAGCTTGGTGGTCTGTTGATTGATGCTCCCTTGGCAAAGCTTTTTTTTTCTCTGGGATATGTCACAAAATCTCTGCACACCGTGCAAAACAAAAGGATGCTGTCTTTGTTTCGATTTCTAACCAACTTCTGAACTGCCCCAACGCAAATGAGTAAATGCACGGTGAAAAAGCATGGCAACCCCAAGACCTTTTGCTGTATCGGAAACGTGGGCTTGTGGCCAATGGTGCAAGGTGCTGCTTCCGTTTATTCAAACTCCTGCCCCACAAGGCCCCGATTAAAAAAACAAAAAACTCCAAAACCAACCGTCGGGATGCTGCCAAGGAAGTCCCTGAGATCCGTGCCAAAACCTTCTCATCCAGGACCGCCTGAAAGAGGTGCTGGGTCAACCCGTCTCAATGACATCCTCATGGACATGGGCATTCAAGGGCCTTCTGTTAAAGAGGCTTTTGTCCAGTTGCAGGAGAAGACCTACCTTTTGTTTCTCTCTTGCAAAGCAGGAGTGACAACGCGGGAAATATGCAACCAGCAGCTGTGAAGTCGTACCACTTTGAGGGAAGCCGGAGGAAGCTCCAAATCCGCGCAAAAGTTTCCAAAAAAGTCGACCCCAAAGCTTGGTTGCTGTTGACCCCCCTGCAAAAAGTGAGCCGACAGGAACGCATAAAGGCAGCTATTCTTTTGCAAGTGAGTACGGTTGCTCGGTTGTTTTCTGCTCCCCTGCAGAAAGTGAATAACTTTTAGTATTAATCGAAAACCCATTAGCTGGCAAAAAGTTTAAGTCCTAACATCCAAGCAAAATGCACCAGGTTGGGGGAAAAAGGCAACCAACATGACACTTTGAGATGCGTATCCACGCGCCATCATTCGAGCCTCAGGGCTTTCCAGTTAGCGCCCCGCAAATTGGCGACTTTCGCGGCTTTCGGTCAAAGAAGCAACCTCCAAAGGAAAAACTAGAAATAGGGGTCAAGCAAAACCCTACATCTTCAATCGTTTTACACCCGGGAAAAAACACACACACACACAAAAAAAAAAACACGCAAACACACACACACAAGCACGCCATAGGCAAACCACATGTGCCCTGCCCGTCTGCCCGTTGAGCTGATCTCCGTCTCCCGTCCAGACCTCTCCCAGGCAACTGGCCACCAAGGACAGCAAAATTGCACGCGCCATTACCTCGAACGGGTGCAGGATTCCCTGCTTGGGTGTTCGGCCAAGTTGGTAAGTGGTTAGCCACCTGGGTTATAGCATGCTAACAACAAGGTTCGTTCCACTTAGGGGAGGGACTCACAAGTGGGTTATAATCTAGGTTTCGAACAGCTTAGTAACTTGGCCGAGCACCCAAGCAAGGTGGACTCACATTGAATGGCCCATGAAAAGGTGACATGTAAAAACTGAATAGGACATGTATAGGGACTCCTGTGAGATAAGGTGTGAAACACCATATCCTTCCCACAAACATGGCACCTGCCAAATCGTCCGTGCAAGATAAACCATTCTCGGACTTGTTAAACTCATTTCCAGGTTCCGTCCTACAGGTGATCTGTTCCCTTTTGGCTTCCTGTAGGATTGATCCCCAATGGCAAGCAACAGTGCCTCTGGACTGGGACCCTACCAATCAACCAACTTAGGAAATCAATCATCTGAGGCAATCATGGTTGTACATTCACATGTAATCCAACAACATACCTCAAGGAGATTCTTTCTCTTTCTCTCTCTTTCTCTCTCCCTCTCTTTGCATCTAGATATTATGTCTTTGCATCTAGATATTATGTGTATGCATACTCATGACGCATATTATATCATATTTTTTTGCGGGACCAGCCTCGCAAGTAAACGGCACCGACCAAATTGTACTATACACACACATATATATAAATATATATTGTCGCCGCCTTGCGTAGTGCTTCTGAACAGCAAGAACACCGCAAATAGCGGTATTCTGTGAATATAGTGAAATTCATGCAAACTTGAAAGCAACTTGTAAGAACCCACAAACCTGAAACAGATTCCATTACACTTTTGGAGGTCGAGGCGCTGAAAGTGCTGCACTGTCCCTATTTGTTGCTTTCCAAGAAGCAGAAAATACGGATTTCCACACTTTTGAAGGTCGAGGTGCTGAAAGTGTTGCACTGTCCCAGTCTTTTGCTTTCCAGTCATCAGAAAATAGGTAGGTCGGGCGCTGAAAATGCTGTACTGAAATGTTGCACTGTCCCTAAAAACCTTGGAGTCTCCAGCTTGGCCCTTCTCCAAGACTCCAAAAAAAAGTTGGTTTTCAAATTTTTAAAGACAGTGCAGCACTTTTGAAGGTTTTCAAGGAGAACATATTGAAATGTTGCACTGTCCCTAAAATTGGAGTCTCCAGCTTGGCCCTTCTCCAAGACTTCAAAAATAGTTGGTTTTCAATTTTTTAGGGACAGTACAGCACTTTTGAAGGTTTTCAAGGAGAAAATATGGACAGTTCCACACCTTTGGTGCGCTGCCCCGATTTTTCCAGAAGCAGAAAGTGGGGACAGTTGCACTTTTGGAGGTCGAGGTGCTGAAAGTGCTGTACTGTCAGGGTTCACAGTGTGGACAATGCTGATGTGAGCAAGGCTGTTTCGATCTCTGGTCAAAACTTCCTCGCCTACGGTGGGCCTTACTGTACTAGGAGTTGAAGCTGGTCCAACATGGTTCCCGTCAGGCACAGGAGCCTTGGGCTTCAAAGCCTTCATGACCTTCTTAGGCATTGCGCAAACTTCTAGAAAAAGCACAAAGATTTACCTGCCG